TTCCCTCCCATCTTTTGATTGTTTTCCTACCAAATTACGTTTTTACTGTTCAGAACTTTTCTCTCTTTTCTCCTCAGCTGGTTCTCCTCAATCTCTCCAGTTTTCATCTCTTACCCTCCTCTGTCTCCAGTGTCAGTCTCCCTCTGCTCACCACTTCCACATCAGCCAGGCCTTTTGCTCTGTCTCCAGCCCTGCATCCATACTTCTCACTGCTCTCTCTCCCATGATGGGTGTACAATCCTCAAACCTTGGCTTACCCTGCTTAAGTTGGAAATGGAAAAGGAGCAAGATGCAAGCAGGAGTAAAAGATGTTGGCAGGGCGCAAACTGAAAGGAGTGAGGATTTGGGGGGTGTCAACTCCACTGAAGAGACAGAAAGAAGAGAGTGTTCAGGACTTAGAGAGCATGTGGGTGGGTGCAATGCAGGTAGCCCTGCACCCACATACCTCTGAGCTAGAGGATCCTCCAGACAGGGTGAGAGGAATGTGTTTCACGTCCTGTTGTCCTTCTGTGCTCCTTGCAGCTCCAGAAGCACCGGACCGTCCAACCATCTCCATGGCATCAGAGACATCTGTGTACGTGACCTGGATCCCCCGTGGGAACGGCGGGTTCCCCATCCAGTCTTTCCGTGTGGAATATAAGAAACTGAAGAAGATGGGAGACTGGGTCCTGGCCACCAGTGACATTCCTCCCTCCCGCCTCTCTGTGGAAATCCCAGGCCTGGAGAAAGGTAGGCAGGTGTTCTCCTCCCTGCTCCTGAAGGTGTGTAGGAAAGCTGTGCAGTCCCTGTAGGATGCTTAGCCTTCTGTCACGTCACGCTTAGCCCCGGCATGTGCAAGCAAAACAAAGCCTTCCCAGCTCCAGCCTTAGATGCATGGGGAAAAGCTGCAGATGCTTCTCCAGTTTCTCCAGCCGCAAAGACCCACATAGATTTGACCTCCCTCAGGGAGGCTTGCACGTGCTTTTCTGTATTACAGGATATAGTTACAACAGTCATTTGGTTTTGCCATTTACTAGATAGGACAGAACTTTCTTGCCACAGGCAAGACAGGTGGACACACAGTTCCCATTGCATTTCACCTGAGAAAAGATGGCATCACTGAGCTGGACAGTTTAAAAGGGCAACATATGTACCCGAACTTAAAAACCAGAGAAACTACGTTTGGGTAAAAATTATTTAGGCTTTGAGCTTTTAACTGACATTTATGTACCTAATTTCTATGTAGTAGAGGAAGGACACCTTCCCATACCTGCTTTCAGGTCAGGACGTCCTTTCAGGCATCAATGAATCCACCCGCACACCTTCCAGAACTACCACCTGACCTCTAAACTATCCAGACAGGAATTGGGGAAGGCAGAAAAAAAAAGCAGGGTCCATCTCATACATGGCTGAAATCTGGCCGTTCAGTGTTTGTACTTTGATCAAAACATCTGCGTAGGTTCTCTGCCTTCTGGAGAACATGTATTCCCTCTCCACACTCAGGCCTGTGCTGACAGTAGAAGGCTTGGAAGACTCCAATCTCTACAACTATTTTATTTCCCATTTTTTTCCCTAGGCGTGTCCTATAAATTCCGTGTTCGGGCACTGAACATCCTGGGAGAGAGCGAGCCCAGTGCAGCATCTCGGCCGTACGTGGTATCTGGGTACAGCAACCGAGTCTACGAGCGCCCTGTGGCCGGGCCATACATCACCTTCACAGATGCCATCAATGAGACCACCATCATGCTGAAGTGGATGGTAAGGTTTGTAGGGGCGGAGATCTCTGAATGTGCAGGAAGCAGGCGTGTGGGTGCTACTTTGCCCAGCTTACACGTCTTCCAGGTTACTGCACTGGAGCCTGTCACCAGCACAGATGGAGCTCAGCAGATTACCTCAGGGTCTTGACCATTTTGTTCCACAAGCACAGTTCAACAACGCGTGGGGTGGCTGCTTGCTCTTCTGGCCAAATTCTTGGAATCCATTAGCACTTCTGTCTGTCCCAGTAGTTTCCAGCAGAAATGTCCTTCACTCTCACTTGCTGGGTGGCACTCCTAAGTGCTGATAATCATTTACAGCAGTCCACTCCAGAGGATTTTAGGAGGGAGCTAGACTTTTTGGATCACAAGCCCAGATCCGAGTGTTTCCAACAGCTTAGAGCTTATTCAGAGAGATACATCACCCTCTTCTCTCTCTCGGCTGCTTCTATCCAGAAATTGCTGCACGGCAGGATGGGCACTGCAGTTCATTTAAAAACAAACAGTAGCTGATAAAATACTGGGTGAAAGATGGGAAGAACACATGGAGCCGGGACAGTACTGTCCTGGGTGGGGGAGGAACAGAGCTGTCTTCAGAAACACGAGAGTCCTACAGTCACTGGTTCATGGCAAAAACGGAGTCAAGGTTAAGGAGCGCTTGTCCTTGCCCAGCTGAGTCACTGTTGCTGAGGAATTTTTTTCTCTGCAGCATTGGCTGTGGCTGCTGGGAGGGAGCACAGAACAGGATGCTTCAGTTGACAGGACCAGATTCATGGCTTGTCTGGTACCTGAGAGAAGCAAGATGTGAGAGTATAAAATAGCACTGAACTTTTGGAAGGAAGCCCTTAGTGTGCAAACCAGTGGCAGTGCAAGGAAGATCCCCCTGCTCCTCACTTAGTACGACATGAAGCACAGCCATCTCTGCTAATTGCTGCTCTTCTGTTCTCTGCAGTATATCCCAGCGAGCAACAACAATACTCCCATCCACGGTTTTTACATCTACTACCGCCCCACTGACAGCGACAATGACAGCGACTACAAGAAGGATGTGGTGGAAGGTAGGAGATACTGGGAGACTGGTCCCAGCTGCTGGAAAAGTACTTGCCCAGAAGGAGCCCCCTGAGCACAAAAGGCAGCTGCTGCTGCTGCGCAGGCCTGCTTTACCTAGCACTGCTGCAGAGATGAGCCAGCTGCATGTTCCCCGAGGAAGCTAACGGCACTGTGTGTGTTCCCTCCTCAGGGGATCGGTACTGGCACTCCATCAGCCACCTGCAGCCAGAGACTTCGTATGACATTAAGATGCAATGCTTCAACGAGGGTGGTGAAAGCGAGTTCAGCAACGTGATGATCTGTGAAACCAAAGGTAACCAGCTTTGCAGGGCGCAGCCTGCTGCCTTCCCTGCCTGCAGCTGTCGGAGCACAGCAAGGCAGGTACTATACCTGCCTGACGGCGCATCATGCAAGCTCAGGCAAGGAGATGGAGGCAGCACTAGGGAGAAGAGGCGTAGGTTTGTTGATGCTGTTGCTCAGTACGTGTATATACCAGTACTCACAGACCCCTTGTGCAGAGTCCATCACTGTTTCCCTCAGAGTAGTAGTTACCCTTTGTTTTCCTAAGGATCACATAGATGTGACTGGAACCAGAAGGGTTAACATGCCCTTGCTGTTCCGAACTCTGTGTTTGGCCATAAGCAGGTCCCATGCTTTCTTCCAAGCAGCTGCACTATCATGATAGGAACAGCATTAAGTCCAAGTGGGTGCTTTGGAGAAGCCATTTTTCCTTTTTCCTTTGCTTTAGCAGCCCAAGAGCCTGGCAGATCTGTAAGCCAAGCACAGAGGACTGGTCTGTACTGCAATATGCATCAGCCTAGGACATCTTCGGGCATCCAGGAGCACTTCTTTAAACCCACCACTCCACAGCAATGCTGACATCCCTGGAGCATGCTGCTCTTCCATCTGCCATGTCTGTGTCTAACGTGCTCTCTCTCTCTTTTCCCTTCACAGCTCGGAAGTCTCTTGGTCTGCCAGGTCGTCTTCCACCCTCAACAGTGCCCCCCCAGCAGCATCCCCCACTCAGTGGTGGGCACAGTGGCCTGGGGACAGGAGCCATGGTGGCCCGGTCCAGCGACTTGCCATACTTGATTGTAGGCGTTGTGCTGGGCTCTATCGTACTCCTCATCGTGGCCTTCATCCCCTTTTGCCTTTGGAGAGCCTGGTCCAAGCAGAGTAAGGGTTCTTTCTTGAGGGCTGATTTACAAGATCTGCTCTGCCCTGTGGGTTAGGTCTGACCCTGAGTGTAGCTGGGTCAAACACCCAAAATGTGAGGGCTGCACATTCTTGAAAGCAGGGAGAGGGTGGGCAGAGCATAAGTCCTAAATGTCCTGTGGAACCCCACAGAGACAAAGGCCACCATTTGTCCTTTGTCCTGCTTACCTGCTTACCTTGTTGGGAAGGAACCCTGGGACTAGAACAGAAGGAAAGGGGCACTCCCTTTGCCTTTATGTAGGGCCCCTTTCCACCATTTGTCTCCAAGGGTGCTTTGGGTGCCAAAATAGCTGCCTGATAGGATAGCCTACCGCTATCCCTGCTGGCAGCTCACTTCAAGAACCTCAGCTTTGCCTCTACTTTTGGCCTCAGACTTCTTTTTTCTTCCATCTGCAGAGCAAACCATTGACATGGGCTTCCCAGGAGCTGGGCTGCTGGTATCATCCTACCAGTACACCATGGTGCCTCTGAGGGGCATCTCTGCTCCTCGTGCCAATGGACATGCCTTTGTTAACGGGCAGCCCTATGCCAACGGGGCACATCTGAATGGCATCTGTCCCTCTGCAGGAGTGGGCTATGCAAGCACCAAGCCCCGAGATTACAGTCCAGATGAAGTGCCACAGGTAAGTCTGCTGCAACTAACAGTTGGTTTGACATGAGCTGGAGGCCATGGTTGTGGTGAGAGGACTTCTCCAGACGTGCCTGGCACTGCCCTTTGCAGCATGTAGAAGTGGCAAGACTGGCTCTTTCTTAAAAGAGATTTCCCCTTTGCAGCGGCATCTGAGACATGGGAGGAACAGGAAGGTCTCCAAAACACTGGTGAGGAGGTGGTTTCTTGGGGCAGTGGCTCCATGTATGGAGGAGGCAGTGAGCAAGGGCTACTTTTATGGGAATGGTTCCTCTTTCTCCTGAGCAAAGGTCACAGGGACTGACAATGTTGAGGACTCAGTAAGTAGTAACACAGGCCAAGGCAGTGCCACAGCTGAGACTATAAATGGGTTATCATCCCCCATTGATTCACCAGTAAACATGAAGTGAGTTTTTCAGTGCTCAGTTCTGGACTGTCCTCTGTAGCAAAAGAAACAGTTTCAGCTTTCTCTGCCTTCTGCTGCAAGAGCTTCACCAGTCTGCCCCACAGCTCTGGCTCCCAGGTCAGCACCTGCCTCTGAATGCTGCTCAGTGGCGTTGCTCTGCTGAGATTCCCTCTCTCTCCTTCCAGTCACACGAGGAGACCAATGCCTTGCTGCAGGCGAGAGTGCTGCAGAATGGGAACGCCCAGCAAGACTACCAGCCCTCCAGGTTAGTCCTGGCTTATGGAGGGGAGGGTGGAACAATCCCATGGGGCTCACAAGACTACATGCTCACAAAAGCTCACCCTCAGCACGCTCCCATCTGTCCCAATTCACTTGGGAAACAAATCGGTGCTCCAGCACTAGGCCTTCTTGGTCTAAATTCTCTTTGTACAGCTCATTCCTTTTATGTTTTGAGGGAGGGGTAATTTAATTGTAGAAATGTCCAAGGACTTCCTCCCCTCGCTCCTCAGTGGGAGACTGAAAAGTAGGATGAGAGAAGCTGACATCTATGACTGGATGCTGATAATAAACAGGAGCCCCAGAAGCTAGCCAGGGTCCAATCGCAGGTACTTTGTATCTCACTGTTTGGACTTCAAGTCATCATTCCCATGCTTCTTGGGAGGCACTACTCCTCCCAGCTCCTGTGGCATTCACTAGATTTTTGAATCATGGATATCAGGTCCCATCACCTCACTCCCATCCCACAAGTACATCCCAATTTCTGCTCTCCCCCGATTTACGAACATTCTGTGTCATGGCATTGATGCAGTTGGCTGAGATGTTACATAGGTTATGTCTTTCAAGGAGGAAAGATCTGTGAATAGTGCTAAACCTCTTTGTCTGCCTCCCCAGATTGCCCAGCTCAAGAACAGAAGACAGCTCTTTCCTCTACAGTCTCCCAGATGACTCCACTCACCAGCTTCTTCAGCCACAAGATGACTGTCCTCACCTTCAAGAGCACTTTGTTGGCCTCCATCATCCAGTGATGGGCAGCAAAGTGGGAGGTCCAAGCCTGGATGCTCGACGGGATCCCCTGTTCCACCAAGGTCAGTGATCTGGAAAACTTCATTTTAGGCTGATCTTGAAAGGAAATCTCAGTGTAGAGCCTTTCTGATGGCTCTGTTCATGCTTGCTTCTGCGGTGCAAGGACAGTTTTAACACTGCATAGAACAGCAGCAGGGAAAGGCCCTACTAGAAGTTGGGGACTGAGTTGCCTCAGTCAGTTTTAGAGGACAAATTTCTCATTTCCTCAAAAGCTTGAGCTGTGTGCTGCTAGAAGGGCACATACCTACCTCCAGTTGCAGAGACGCTGTCCTTTAGTCCTCCTTAATTTTACATCTCCCAAGCTGCCAGTAAAACAAGGTCCCTGAAAAATTATGTGAATCCATCTCCCTAGGACCTGATCCATTCATCCACTCCTCCCGCAGCATGGATCGAACTCATTGTGTGCAAGCATAGGATCAAACTCCCGTGTAGCCAGGATGTTTAGAATGCAGTTCTTCCTCTTTGGTCAGAGTACCTATTCTCACAAAGTGGACTGTTGACTAGAAAGCTGCCACAGCATCTCTGATTTCTGTTTGTATTCTGTATTTCTCTCTCCCTTTCAGGAAGCCCTTGCTGCCTAGGCCTGGTGCCAGTAGAAGAGGTAGAAAGACTAGATTGCTGCCAGTCCCGAGGAGATATCCATCCCCAGAATCCAGTGATCACGTCTTTGGGTCAGGACCTACCAAGACACCTGAACAGCAGCCCACCGCCACTGAGGCCCTTAGAGACTCATTCTCCCACCAGCTAGGGACCAAGCTGCCTTTTGCAAAAGACTTATTCTAAAGAGAAAAAGAGAATGGGTATTTATTTTTGTATAACACCCCTATTTATATATTTATGCACTTGTATATAGATGTATATGTGCCTTTTATAATGCTATGGAGACAGAAGGCATCCTCAGCAAGGTCAGAGGAGGGTCCAAGAAAGAAGGCAGCAGCTATCTGTGGCACCGGGCTGTTCATCAGAGCACAAGATTGAATCAGCAGCAAGAGAGACGTCGCAGGACGTGGGTCCAAACAGAGCTGCCAGCACCAAGATGTAGCACCCTCTCGCAGTGACGGCTTTGCGAAAGATAATGCTGTCAAAAAGGTCTTTTCCTCTCCCCCACAGGAAGGCATGTTCCAGGAACGCGCTCCTGTGAATGGACTGGAGTTATGCACTCTGCCTAATCAACTTAAACAACCCTTCGCATACACGCCATCTGCAGCTGCATATCTGTAAAGTCAAACCCACGCTTTAACATCTAAAATAAAGGCTTTAGTCTTTTCTGTGGCTGCCTGTATGCTAAATCCACCCAGGGAGTGAACCTACTCTTTTTTCCCTTGCAGACACACAGCAAGCAGGACACCCAGCGAAAGGTTACGTTTTCCTGCAGTTACAGTTTTTCAGATAGCCACTCGTGAATCTTCTAAATACTGAGCTCAGGAGAAGCGGGACAGCCACTACCGGGGCCAGTTAAATGACATAAAACTTCTAGTGAGGAGCACAGCTACAGGAAATTTTCATTTCTCTCCAGGCACAGCTGCATGAGTTTGGTGATGGAGGGGAGGCAGATGGACACCCAAACCTCTGCAAATTTTGTTTTCTTACCCCCCCCACCCCCCATCCTGTGATTTTTCCAGCTTCAGATGCTTTCAGCATCCAGGCCTGTGGGCAAGGGTGGTTTGTTTTCCCTATGGAAACAGGGGATGCTCAGTACCTTCATAGGGACCCACTGAAAAGGCGCAAGTGCCATTCATTCTGTTGTGCTGGGCACAGCAGAGGCAGGTCTTGTGCCTGGCTGGGATCTGGTTGGGTCCTGGCTGAACATACACTGGACAGAGGAGCAAAGACCAGTGGCAAAAGGCACTGGAGTGGGGAGGAAGAGCAAGAGCAGCTGCAGGTTGATCAATCTATTTAAAAATCAGCAACAGCCCCCAAGCCTCCCCCTGCACCCTCAGCTACTTTGCAGTGGAAGAATAGTGCAACACAAGCCCTCCACTTTGGGGCTGAAGGAGGTTTTCACAGTAGGACAGGGTGAGTGCTGTAAATGATCACACACTGCCACCATACCGAATGCCAGAAGCAAAAAAGAGTAAAAGACCTGAAAACAGAGTCTGGCTTGCTCGCTCTCTCTGATCAGACAGGTGCAAGCCAGTGGAATTACAGGATGGCTTTGCATTTGCTATGCCCTCCTCCTGCCAGGTAAATACCACATCCTGCACTGCAGTGCAGTTTTCCCACTTCTACAGAGCAAAGGCAAGTGGAAAAGTCTTTGGTTCCATACCCATCTGAGCACTGTAGGCCCTGAGGAGAAATGTCCCTTTGTTTTCTCTACATAGCACTTCCCTTCTCTTTTTACCATGACTCTAACTAGCTCAGTTAGCAGAGAACGGCCATAGCTTGTTAAAAAAAAACAAAACCAAAACAACACACCCTTCAGGCAGACATCTTTTCCCATTTTTGAGTTATGGGCTAGATTTGCCCATGTGAAACTCCCATATCCAGCCTTCAAAAGCCACTCATTTGAGTGCACACATAGACACAGAGCATCTGCGCAGCACAAATCTCTGCAGTGGGCTGATAACAGCATTTACTGGGTGTATTTGCACTTTTTTATTCCATATCTGTCACTATAATCATGTTTTGATAGGGGAAACAAATATAACCCTTTACAACTAAACCCCTGAATAGCCAAAGCAATTCATTTTGCACTTCCAGTTATTGCTACTGCCACAGTTAACCGTCTCCATTTTTAAGGAAGAGTTGGACTGTTACTTAGCTTTTCTGATCTAAGAACAGGGAATGACTCAGTTGGTGTCTGAGAGTCCTGTGGTGACGAAGGTTGTAGAAAGAGACACCCATCTTTTCTGCTAAGGAAAGCGAGTTCTCTTAAGCACCTGTCTTTTCTGCTTAGAAGATTGATTTCTTCTCTTAGGAGGGCTGTGTCACGAGCTGTGTGCTTGAGCCGCGACTCCAGTTTGGCCTTCTCTTTGATGTCAGTAGTTCGGATGTCCTGAAATTCTGCTCCCTGTAAGGAGAGGGCAAAAAAAACAAAACAACCAACTCCTCTAACACATGGGAGAATGAATGGTGGAAATTTATTTCAAGTGGGAAAGCGAGGCTTTCCAAGAAGCAGGACAGCTTCATGATTTCTCCACTCCTCACTCAGAACTACTTGAAAGTCAGTGAGGGACCATTAACTTAGATTCAGACTGTCACAGATGGCTGCCTTTTTCCCCAGTACAGAGCAAAGAAAACACTTTAATTCATGTGGTTGTTTCCATGTAACAAAGGAATAATTTTGAGCTGCTGCAAGACATTTTCTAATTGGAAATTAGTTCCTTTCAGTATTAGAAAGCAGCTAAGTAAGAAAGAAATTAGTACAGAAGCTAAAGTATGGTCTCCTTGAGGATCAGCTCATTCATCTCCCTTTCTATAAGACCTAGAGCAGCTGTTCAGCCTGTGCCACAAGGCATTATTAGCCTGAACTGCAGAGCAGGATGTGAGGCCAGAGGGCTGGTGAGGAGGGCCAGATGAAGCCTTACCCATATCTGAACAGTCCCAACCCTGCATGCAGCCCAGTGGTTAAAGGCTTACCAGATCGTTCTCTAGTGAATCCAGCTTTGTTTCAAGTTGCTGCTTTTCGAGACACAAGCCGTTCAGCTGCTGCAGCTTGCTAGTGTTTTCCTTCGTCAGCTTCATTAGCTGCTGCTGCAGGTCTAAGATTCTTCCCTAGAAAGATGTAAGAGGTTGAGCTGTGATGGGAGAGGACAAAATGTGTGAAGTGGGGAAGAAGTGCTAGGCACAACATAAGTGTCAGAGAAGAGAGGTAAACAACAGGCTGATGCTGCGTACACCACCAGATACCACAGTACCTTTAGCACAATCTGTCTTCTTTTTTTCTTTCTTGTTTTTTTTTATTATTGCAAATGCCCAAGTATTTAGGTAAAGCAGTTCAGCAAAACCATGGGAAAGAGAAACCGTTAGGTACATAGTACTGCTGTATGTGTGCTACATATTAAGCTGGCTCCTAGACCAGCCGGAAGCTAGCATAGAAGAGGAACAGAAGGCTGGGGCTGTGAGTTTCCACTTTGAGATTTGGCTCTCATATCCAGATCCAGAGAGATGACAGGGGCTCTTTGCCTTGCTACAAACACAGGACAACAAGGAACTGCAAATCTGCTTGGACACTCTACTTTCCTGGAAATGTGTCATGCTGCACAAACATGAGTAGCGGCCAGGACAGTTCATTACAAACCTACTTGTGTCCTTGCTGATGTCAGTTAGAAAAGTCTTGAACCAGATCTAGGTGTGTGCTGTGTTGAAGGATACAAGAATCACTTCCCTAAGGAGCAGTGAATACCCACCAGCAAGCCTAAGCCCAGAACGTGTTGCCAACTGACATGAACAGAAAAAAACTAGAAATCACAAAACATATTAGATATATGTATAAAGGTGCTGCTGTTTTACTGCTCGGGGGAGGGGGGGGGAAGAAATCTTAAGTCAGTTTAAAACAAGAGGCATGATACTTGCCTCTTACTAGATTTCTCCCATCTGTTTTCTAATTTTTCTTTTTCCATATTTTTAAAAGGACAGACAATGACAGCATTCTGTAAGGGCAGAATAAGAGCATTGCCTGCTTGCACTTGCCTTAGCCCCCCTCCAGATAGAGACATGCACTTTTCAGACGGCACAGGCTGGCATCCTAGGCATGAGCCAGAGCTGCTGCCCTGTACTCAAATAGTTCATCACCAAATGTCAGCTGAAAACCAAAGGAAAGCACTCTGGAAGAACTTCAGATAGGGACTGAAGGAGAGGGATGTATTTGAGGAAAGTAAAACACAAAGGTTGTCAACTACCTCCATGAGAAAAGAGGATGTGCAGCAGCAATAGGAGCAGAGGTAGGAACGATGATGGGAAGTGGGAGTTGGACATTACGGTCTATTAATGACAGGTGACAAAAACAAATGTGAACATACTCACAGAAGATTTTTGCGTAGCTATTCAGTACCAGGCAAACGAAGCCTTAACAGATCATGGTAACACATGTGCCCTCCTCCTTTTCCTGCTCCTTACCTCCCACTCTTTGAGTTCCTGGGAGTGCACATATTCTTTCTCCATTATTTGCACTTCCAACTCTTCCACGCGTATGTTAACAGAGTGCGCTTGAACTGCTTCAAAATCAACCAACCGGCCAAACTTCTTCACCATCAGCTGATTGCACTTCTCTTCCAGTCCTAACAGAAAGGGCACGGTGCAAATGGCAGAACTGTCTTTCATTGGTTAATAAGGATTTCTGCCTTACCCCCAGCTTTTTGTCTGAGCTCTTTGGTATTTGCTCAGTAATGAATAATTCACACAAAACTACACAGAGGTCACAACTGAATATTGCTGTTTGTCTTTGCCCATGACCACGTCTGTGTTGTCACTAAGCCACAGTCTAAGCCAGTCCTAGTAAGGCACTCCCACATCAAACATTATATAGGGCCTTTGCAGGTTTGGTGGTGCTAGACACATCTTTGGGTTTGGTCCTTGGGAAAGTGTTTCAAATAGGGCTTGTGTCCTCCTCCTTATGTTACACACAGACGGAAATTGCCAAAAAAGGTTACGTGGCTTTGGGTAAAGTACTTTTTTCCTAGCAGATCTGGTTTACAGCCAGAAATAGCAATCGTGTCCTGACTTCCAGTGTCTCATCTCAGTAAACTCTCCTTATACTAAGTTCTCAAATTATTTCACACAGCCTAATGACTACAGTGCTGGAGAACTACCAGTACTTCATCAAAACAGTCCACTCGATC